GATTGCACATATAATGTATGTATTTCAATAGCTAAGGATCATGAAAAGATCGTGTTGTATCCTTGAGATTCTGTTTGAGTGGCTGAACAGTAGGCCAAGATATAAAGGCTAAAATCAACTTCCGACGTTGGAAGCTGAGCTTAGGTCTAATGCTAGCTGCAGTCCTTTCACACAGCATTAGTCTTAAAATAAATTTTGAATAAGATTTTTTTTTTTTTTTTTGCATTTTGGTGGCACTAGAAGACATTTCTGTAAAAGACTGCAAATAAATGTAGAAGGCTTTCAGACTTCTCCCTTGTGTGCAATACCTATTTAAGTTTTGCAGTAAAGCATACTGCTCCCATATGCCCATATGTGAGGGAGGGATTTCTTGTTTCTGTGTCCATGAATGAATCTTTCCAGGTGCCAGAAATTGCCATTTCCTTACCTACACACAAAAGCAAAATGAGGTATTTAAGCTGTATCATCCTTTTTTTTTTAAACAGGTATAATCTCCACTAGGAAATCAATCAATGTTTTGGACAAAAAAACTAATTTTTCAGTTCAAAGTTTCACGTTCAGTTCTCAAGAGACTGAATTCTAGTCTAAAACAAAAATGGAATAACTTTTATTTCACCTAACATTTCTCCAGCAACAAATTATAAAATAGTAGAGTAGCTTATATTTCAGACAATGTCTGGAGGTCTGTAATCCAACTTCTTTCTCAGAACAGATGTAATCAGAAGAGGTTGCTCAAGGCTGTGTACAGTTAAACACTTCCACGAGCAGTGATTCCACCACCTCTCTAAGTCCCTTTTTTGGTATTTGACTTCTATTGCAGTAAAAAAATAAATGTTTATCCCTAACCAGAATATACCATGTACCGGCTTATATTTGTCGCTTCTCAATCCCATTGCTATGCACCTCCAAGAAGAATCTGGCTTCATCTTCTCAGTATCCTCCAGTCAGGAAGCTGCAGACACTGCTGTTCCTGAGCCTGCTCTTCCCGAGGCCAGATGAACCCAGCTCCTTCAGCCTGTCTGCATCCATCATACGCTGCAATCTCTGGCTTGGTGGCCTCCTGCTCCAGATGCATCCTCACAGGTGCCAAAAAGAGGGGAATGATTGCTCGTCTGGTTCTGCTGGCTATTCTCTTGCTAATACAGCCCAGGATGTGTCTGGCCTTCTTTCTTCAAGCATGTTTGTTGAATTATGTTTGAAGACTTCCCAGATCCTTTTCTGCAGAGCTGTTTTCCAGGCAACTGCCCACCCCAGCCAAAGTTGTTATCCTATCTCAAATGCAAGTCTTTTCAAGCAAAGTAAGAAATGAGTAATCAGCTCGCTTGAAAAACCCAAATAATTTTCTGTATGGCCAGCTTTACCAGGTTCTGTAGTCTTTCATCACTAATGCTCGTATATGAAGGTGAAATGCAGAGAAAGATGCCTGGTGGCAGTCCCCTCCCATGGGGACTCATGCTGTGAGATGACTTCAGTGTTCATTGTATCCTAACGTGGATCAGATTCTTTATGTAAATGAATGGCTTGTGGCTAACTGACATTTGGTATGCGTAGGAGTGGGTGAGTTCATTTCAAGAAAACTCTGTACTGGTAAGTAAAGTACTAGTGGTTGTGTTTCTCATTAATGATGATGGATAACTGCTCTTCGTAGGTCATCTGTACCGGTACTCCTCACAGTTTGTTCTCATTTTGACTTGACAGCAAACTTGCACTATTTTCCATTCTAATTTTTGCACTTGCTTTAGTTTTGCATCCTGAAGCACACATAGGTGTTTGATCAATACAGCAAATACCAGTCAAGCTTTGAACTGGTTGACACAGAGCCCTGCTGTTTCAACACCGCATGAGTAAGAACCTTTCAATTGCTAAGTAACCATAAGGAGAAGACAAAACAGAATTTTATTTATGATTTTAATAACAGTGTTGGTACTTTCCAAATACTTAGTTATAGGAGGAGGCATCTTTGTTCCTGATCAAAATATTCCTTGCAATTATCAGTGCATGCAATGCTTTGTCCAGCACACTGTACCCATTTATGAGTGTAGTGTCTGAGTCTTGCTCTGGTTATGTTCAGAAGAAAAATTATAATTGATTTTACTAGGAGTGGGATGTCTTTTTAAAGGTGTGGATATCTTCTAATTTTATTTAAGAATATGCATTCACTATAGAAGGGATTAACTTTGTTACCTGCCCTACCCCTTAGCATGCTGGCAGATGCAGGCTTCCACAGCTACACAAAAGCTTGGGAAACTTATGGTAGTGATGCTTAGTTTTGCATGGACCTGCTGAAAAGAGACAGGTAGACTGAGAAACACAGTCCAGCTGAGAGCTTGCAGGAGAAGCTGGTTGCTCTCCTATTCCAAGGGGTTAAGCCTTATGTGGACTGAATTGGAGCAGGAAGAGTGTGTCCACTGAACTGTCCTTTCCAATTAAGATCAGAGGTGCCATCCTGCATATAGGCCCTCGTGGCACTGTACAAGTCATAGTACCAAGTGCCAGATGTAAGAGTGCAACCACCCAACCCGATCCCATTCCCTTCCCTAAAACAGGCTGTAGTTTCTAAAAGCAATTAATTTCACCTTTTTAACTTCTTAAAGTTCTTTCTCTCAGTTCTTCATTTGCTCAAGCCAAATAATAGTTGATTTATTCAGTGAAATTAAAGATTCAAAGTCCTCTGAGCATTACAGTTTACCCAGAGCAGTCTGTATTTTCCATGTTCCTGGAAGTGCCAGAAAGAAAGAGATTTTTCAGGTAAGTCTGTAATGAGAATGCTGTAATGAATCCCTAGACACGCACTAAGACTACCCAATGGTTTCAGTAATATGCATATAAACATAGACAGAAGCTACGCCAAAGCATTTTCGCTTTACAACAGATATAGCTCCAAGTGCTTGCATGTCTTGATGTCCAGTAGTAGAATTTGAGGAGAGCAGTACCACCCATAGCAGAGGGGAATTACTTTGGACTATGTAAATAAACGGGATTTGTAGACTTCTGTGGGACTGAGCAGGATGCATATGGTGTTGCTGAGGCTGTTGCCCAGTATCATTGCAAGGCGCTGTCTGTTACCTAAGAAAGGTCATGGTGACTGGTGAGGGGTGTCACTGATGGTTTGAAAAAGGCAATTGGCTTGCCCAATATGGGATAGTTAGTCTTACCCCTGTGCCCCAGTATAGGAATGAACTCTTTGGGAAGCCATAACCACACAGATGTGGACAAAAATGCTTGAAAACAGCCAGCATAGACTTACCAAGAAAAAATGATGCCTGACTCACCTGATTGTCTTCTACAATGAGATACCTGACTCCAGAGTTGAGAGGAACAAAGTGCATTTACTTGGTCATTTACCTTGACTTCTGCAAAGTTTTCGATAAAGTACCCCTATCCTTTTTGCCAGACTGGGGAGATACAGACTGAATGGGTAGACTAAAAAGTAGATGAAAAACTGGCTATCAGGCTGGAAAGGTAGAAGTCAATGGTTTGAAATCTTCATGTGTGGCTGGTTATGAGTGGCAGGCCTCAGGGAGGTGTTTTGTGGTAAAGGTTGCTCCTTTAGCAAGTTCACGGATGACATCAAATAAAAGGGAGCAGTTTGTACAATGAGTTGCAGGGCTGCCATGCATGGAGACCTTAAAAAACTGGAGGAACAGAAGCCCTGGAAGTTCACCATTGGCAAATGCAAAGTCCTGCATTTGGATGCCGTAACTCCCTGCAACAGCCTGGACAGTGAGCTTCCCTATTAGAGACGAACTGGACAAGATCTGGTATTTCAAGTGGACAACAAGTTGAACAAAGCACAGTTAAGTGTCCTTGCAGTGGTGAAGTCTTACAATGTACAGCCCTGTAGGTTGAGGGAAACCATTACTCCCCTCTACCTGATGCTCGTGTAGTCACAAGTGCCGTATCAAATCCAGTCTGGGGCCTGCAATACAAGAGAGTGACTGAAGTGAGTCCAGCGGAAGGTGACCAACACAGGTAGGGTGCCGAAACACATGATGGATAAGAAGACTAGATTGGCTGGGGTTTGTTTTGGCTCAGAAAAATAACAAGGCTCAGAGGAGAACTGATTGCTATCTTTGTTTCTGCAATGGAAAGACAGAGAACAACGATTCAGCTCTATTCAGAGGAGTGCATTTAAAGGACAAGAGAAAGATGCATCGGTTTACAGCAAAGGGAATTTTGTTCATGTAGAAGGAAAAAAAAAAAGCACCAAGAGAACTGTTAAGCACTGGGACAGGAAGCCTGAAAAGTATTATGCAGTCTTCATTCTTGGAGATTTTCAGAGTTTCACCAGACAAGGCCCTAAGCAGCCTCATCAAACAGCAAACTGCTGTGAGCAGGGTGGGGGACTGGCAGAAGTCTCTTCCAAAATAAATGAATTTATGAAAATACACAATTACTTTTGCAATTGAAAATACTTCAGCTCTCACAGGTAGTTCTCAAAGGCAGAAAACAAAAGTAACAGTGTAATATTCCTTTGAATTTCTGAACATTTATTAGTACCGCTTTATTATACCAGTAGGAGAAATCTTCACATGAGTTACTTTTGGTTATGATTGACAACAGTATGATTGGATAATATTTCACGTCACCTTTACATGTTCAGATATATGGTAACATATGCTTAAGCTACAAGCAGACTTAAATAACTTGTTAAAAAGTGAGCAAGGCAGGACTGTTCAAATATTTTGTGCTTCTGTTACAATTCTTGACTTTTTTTTTCATAAGCATTTATAAGATGTTCACATACCTCAGAGATATAGGTATCTATAGTATACAGACAGGTGTGAAGGAGGTAAAAAAGCAAAGCTTTTTTACACTCTGTTGGCTTTATATATATTTGCCTATCAATAGGTCGAAGAACCTTAGCACACAGAGAACATCAGTGAGTTCAGCACCAACAAATACTGTGAAGCATTAAAAGCTACAGAAATGCTTAAGTGTCCATGATAGAAACAATATGAATATTTAAAATCAGGCAAGAAAGAAATGTGCAGCACTATTCACTTTAAGACCTGAAGTTTTAACTGCCAAAGAAAAAAGCAAGCATTCTTTTTTCTTTTTCTAAAGAAAACCATGAATGAGAAAAAGTATCACTGTGCCAAAAAGCATAAAGAAGGTAAGAGTTACAGACCAGTGAGGTCACTTCTTGGTTTCTCCATCCTCCTGCTAATCATTTTTCTAATCATTTCCCATTCACAATATGTTTGCAAAGACAAAATCGGCCACTTTCTCAGGGAAGAGCCTTTAGGAATCGGAGATCATGCATGGCCTTTAAAATCTGAAAGTTCATCAGAGACTGGCACTAATAGTTTGGTCTCCCTTCAGTAGGTGGACCCATCTTCATAGTGGAATTTGCCTTGAGAGCTGATCCGGGGGCTGGAGACTTCATCGCCACAGGGTAAATACTGGCTGCATAAACGAAACAAATGCCTCTTGAACTTGACTCCAGCAAATACGTAGAGCACGGGATTGAGGCAGCAGTGGGAGAAAGCAATTTTACGGCTGATGTGAAAGGCGAGGTGGATGTCATTGCTGTACTGGCATGTAGATGGTGGAAAAGTAATCAGAAAGCTGAGGATGTTGTAAGGTGCCCAGCTCAGGAAGAAAGCCACCACAATAACAAGGATGAGTTTCACAGTTCTGCGCTTTCTGCGAGATCTTGTTCCAAGCAGAATTATCAGTATATTGATGTAACAGAATACGATAATCCCAAAGGAAATCAGGAAGAGTATGTTTCTCTGATAAATGTCCACTTTTTTCCATTCCCAGTCATCATAATCACAGATACTGACTTCTTCCAAGGTTTCTGTCACTGTGGTGTGAATAATCTCCGGAACTACCATTAAAATGCTGCAAGTCCAAATAAACAAGCACACCAGACAACGGCAGTACTGCGTCTGGGATCTCAGAGTAGAAAGAGGGTTCACCACAGACAAATACCGTAAAATAGTCATGAGAGTTAGAGAGAAAACACCACTGTAGTAGCCAATAGAGAAAATGGCATTCACTGCCTTGCAAAGGAACTCACCAAAAATCCACCCGAAGCTCTGGTACACTGCCCAGAATGGCAGCATGCACGAGAAGACTAAGTCAGAGACAGAAAGATTCATGATGAAGATGTTCGTTAAAGATGTAAGGTTTTCATATTTGAGTAGGATCCATAACACCAGAGTGTTTCCTAGCAGGCTGAGCAAAAATGCCAGAGTATAGAGAACAGTAGTGAAATGGGTGTAAAAGGTAAAATAGTTTCCCATTTCGCAGACATTGCTTTCATTAAGAAAGTGAACAAATGAGTAATTTTCGTCCCAACCAGATGAATATTGTTCTTCATCCATTTGTCTCTGCAAACTCCAGCAGCTACCTCCAAGAACCACAGGAATCAAAATGTCTGTGAAAAGTAATAAGAAAACAAAACTCCCATTCTGGATGCTTCTGTTTTAAGAGAAGAAAAGAAGCAGTGAAACTATCTTATTTGTCCTATTTTTGGGAAAGAACAGAATCATTTCCTCTTAGGACTAGAGCACAAACAGGTAGATCCTAAAGATTTACCCTCAAAACAACATCAATGTCTTTAATAATTAAAACAGATGCTATGATACTAACTGTTGAATTTTTATGATATGAATACTTTTTTTAAACTAAGTACCTCGGGTACCAAGACTTTCAGATTTGCTACTGTTTTTTACGTTGTCTAGAATGGTACAGACCAGCTGATACCTCTTTCTAGCAGCTTCACCTGCCTGCCAGTCTGATTGCAGGTAGGAATGTAACCATTTAACTCAATGGTTGAAACTGGCCAATACTATCAAAAGTTACTGGGACTTGGAGAATGAATGAGATTCAGCCAGGTGGACATACAAGGGTAGCATGGCCACAGTGGCCTTATTTCTTCAGGAATTTGGGATAGAAATAGATACAGGTATAGAAAAATTCATAGTGGTGCCAAACAATGGTTCAGAGTCTAAAATAACATTATATCAGTCAAAGGCTTACCTGCAGCATAGCGTTTGAATTTACTGTGTCAAGTTCTAGGCTTGTCAGTTTAAGAAAGACAGGGATCTTCTAGAGAGAGTCCAGTGGAGGGCCATAGGGATGGGAGGCATGGAATATCTCTTATGAGGAAAGGCTGAGAGACCTGGGCTGTTCAGCCTGGAGGAGAGAAGGCTGAGACAAGATCTTATCAATGCTTGTAAATATCTAAGAAGTGGGAGTCAAGTGGATGAGGCCAGACTTTTTTCAGTGGTGTGCAGCAAATAGGACCAGGGGCAATAGGCACAAACTGGAACACAAGGAGTTCCATACAAATACAAGGAAGAAGTTAGTTACAGTGAGGTTCACAGAGCGCTGGTAGAGGCTGCCGAGAGATGTTGTGGAGTCTCCTCTGCGATATTCAAGACCTGTCTGGATGCTTTTGTGTGTGACCTCCTATAACCTCCTGTAACCTGCTTTAGGACGGGGTTGGACTCAATGGTCTCCACAGGTCCCTTCCAACCCGTACCACTCTGTGAATCCCAATTTGACTGAAGCTGGTGAGAGACCTGCCGCTAACTTAATTGGAAGTGAGTCACAAGAAAGAAACTTCACGATTCAGGCCAAAGTTGTGTTGGTACCATTTTCACTTTTGGGTTATGGAAAGCGGAATCTGCCTGCTACATTCAGGGAAAAACTGAAGGGCTGAAAGGTTTTGCCTGCATCAGGAAAGGGGAGCAGGGAGCACTGCTGGCTTCCAGCAGCTGATGCTGTTGTGCTGGTGGGTGCCTTAAGGTCAACCCGAGCTGACAGCACCAGGGACCGTCTCTCCTCAGGTACGTGGCCGCCCGGTTCTGGAGGCGACACGCGCAGTGTTTGGTAGCAGGAGGCCCATGGCAGCGAGCAGCCCTGCCACATCTGCTCCCACAGGCACCGCCATGGAGGGAACCTGAGCCTGCGGTCTTCCGGCGGTGCTGTGCTGCCATCTTGAGGCACGCAAGACGTCCGAGCCCCTCAGCCTACGCTTTACTTGGCATTACAGACAGCGTTTCTGCGTTGCGTTGACTACAGCAGCCACGTCCCACCCGCGGCCCGTCCCAGCCCGCGGCCGCCCCCTGCCCAGCGCCATCATGGCGACGGCTGTGACCTGCCGAGCTCCCCGGCCAGGCTCCGCAACTAAAGTCTGGGCGGGCATAAACATCTCAGATAAAGAGCCAGGATGTGGCTTCCAAAATTTATACATATGTTCACATTTACATGCCAGGTTCCATAACAGTCAGGGCAGGGACAGCCCATGGTATGCACATGTACACACAGAACAAGTGCTTGAGGGATTTGCTGTGAAAAAAATGATATTTGTTAGCTGCAGATGAAGGGCTATCACTGCACTGCTGAAGCAGCAGCCTTCCCCATCATCCGAAGTGGCCATGGAGGTGAAATTGGCAGCAGTCTTTTGTTTTGTTTTGTTTTGTTTTGTTACGATGAGGAAGAGGTTGTGATCTTTTCTTCTCTCTCCAACTTCTCCTTTCCCAAAAGATGGAAACACACCCCGGAACCCTTTATTACAGTTTTGCAGTAGTTTCCTCTCTTCTAGAGTTTGAGGGTGGGGGAATATCTGGCATTTGCACTCTCACACTGCCCTTCTATCCCAAGCCAAGCCTCTGGGCTGAATCATAGAATTGTAGAACCAATGATTAGATACGGCTGCCCAGGGCCCCATCCAGCCTGGCCTTAAACACCTCCAGGAATTGGGCATCCATAGCTTCTCTGAGCAGCCTGAGACAGTGCCTCACCACCCTCTGAGTAAAGAATTTTCTCCTAATATCTAGCCCAAATCTCCCCTCTTTTAGTTTAAAAATATTCCTCTTTGTCCTACCACTGTCAGACCATTTAAATGTCAGTTCGTCTCCTGCTTGTAAGCTCTCTTCAAGTACTGGAAGACTGCAGTGAGGCCCCACAGGAGGGCCTTCTCTTCTGCAAGCTGCACAAGCCAAACTTCCTTAACCTTTCTTTATAGGAGAGGTGTTCCAGCCCTCCAGTCATCTCAGTGGCCCTCCTCTGGACCTGCTTCAACAACTCCACATCTTTTATGTGTTGGAACGGAAGAAGGGAGATCATGAAACAAACGTGTCTCAGTGAGTGGCCCAGCAGATGAGCTGGATTTTAGTGAGCCATCCTGGGGCACCTCAGTCTTTCTTCTACCACGTGGCCAGTTTGCAGGACATTTATGATGGAAATGGCACATTGAGTCCAGGACTCTCTGCTCAGCAGATCTCATGGACATTTGTAAGGAGCTAGCTGAGTGCTTGGGCAGAAGCAGTCTTGGCCAAAGAGGCTGCATGGTATTGAAGATGGTTAGCATGCAGACTGCTGTTGCCTGCAGCAGGCTTTGTACCAGCATCATTACACATCTGGGTGTAAAGTGAAGGAGGAATCCGGCCCCCTTGCTGGGCTGATTTTTTGTAAATGACATGATTCCTATGTTTGACACATAACTCTGATTTCTCTTAGCAGCAATGTTCTGGCAAGGCAGAAAATACTAAAGGACTTCTTGCAACCAGTGACTGGTGTACCACTTTTCCATCTGCTCCAAGTATAACTGCTCTGTTACTCAGCTGTGAAAAGAGCATCACTCCAGTTATTATTAGCTGGTTTTCTTGGCAGATCAGACAGAGCAGATCATCCTATTTTCACGAATAAAGCAGAACAGATCTGCAAGTTTCTGCAGCCAGTTAAACATTGTCACACATGCACACACAGAATCATCACAGACTCATAGGATTGCTCAGGCTGGAAAAGACCTTCAGGATCATCAAGTCCAACCACCACTTAGCCATACTACCCTAATAGCCCACTGCTAAATCATGTCTCTGAGCACCACATGCAGTGTTTCTCTCTATACTGTATGCTCCCTATTACGTACTGCAAGATTGGCTGTTCTTAAAGAACTCACAGAGACTATGCCGTATATTTAATTAGCAATCTTAAAACTATCTAAGAATCCTATTAAGAAAAATGTGCATGAAGAAGTTCACTCTAATCTCTTATGAATTGTGTCAGTCACAAAATAAAGATGATAAGCAAGAAGAGTGCATTTTACCTTCAGGAGAAATAAATGTGTGTCTGCCCTCTAAAGCCTATCAAAACTAATGCCTCCACATAAAATTAATTTTATGGCTCAGGACAACTTACAGAGCATGGCTGTATTTTTCTGTAGTGATCTGTTGCTACCAGTGTGTTTCATCTTTAAATTCTCAATGTATATTTTTTTCTACATAAAGACGCCTAAAGAAATTGTATGCAATATTTCAGGTGGGGAGAGCACCACCCTATGGTCCTGCCGTGAACAGGCTGTACTGATTTACAGGAGCCCTGGCTGCCTTGGGAGGCCCAGTGCTGCTACTGGGCAGGTTTTGGTAGGAACGACTCTGAAACAGAGGGAAAATGGATCCTCTTTTCTGAGTCCAAGTTGCTCAGTGCTCTTTGGAATGAGCACACTGCAACTGTTGTGAAGATCCAAGACCTGACCTGTATACACATTTCCTGAGCTGCCAATCCCACAAAGTCACTGCTCCCCACTGCAGCCAGTGAAGAAGGCAGTTATGAAACCACATGAAACAATAACAAACAAAAAGAGAAACCACTCTGCCTGCCACTGACATCTAATTTTCTTTGCATCTTGCAGAAGGTGGTACGCAGCGGCCTTGCTGCACTCAATGGCTGTCTCTCTCTGGAGAGCACCAAAAGCTGATGTTCCCCAGTTATACCTGGAATTAGTGTGAAAAGAGAACTGCAGGTTGGTCAGGGCATGGTAGCTGTTAAAACAAGGTACAACGGGTGAGTGGGGTGGCCTGAAGGTTTGTCAGGCTGAAACCTGATGGGCTTTAAATGGATGGGATGAAGCCTGAGGCATCATCGGGCTTTGGAAAAGCAAAACTTGACTTTTCAGAGTTAAAATGAAGTTTTAACAGATGAAAGACATAGATAAGGTATTTTCTTGTGTGAGGACATTTCCAGAGAAGCACCTTGGTTTCCCAGTTCTCTATTGGATACAGTGATGAGCCTAAAGCAAAATAAATCTTATTTGATTAGAAAGATCTGGAGTTACATTCTGAGAATTGTTTATGTTAGCAATGAGGCAATTAAAACTTGCACCACAAGAACACAACCACAACCAAAAACACTCTCGTGCTGTTCTAGCCACCACTTCCCCAAAATCCAGCACTTCCCCTTCGCATGGCATGTCTGCTCACAGGCCTGAGGCAGGCTGAAAGCACAGCCTGAAAACAGTGCTTGTAAAAGCTTTGTTTTAATACAGGAACCCCTCTCCTCAGACATTTCTCCCCAGATGTTAAGAAAGGATGGGGATACGATGGTTGTGGTCCAGTTCAACTCAGCTGCACCAGCCCTGTGTGGCTGTATGAAACCCACCCGGAGAGTCTCAGCCCATGCTTTC